AGACTTGACTTAAAGTATCTAAAGTGTGAATTTCCATTACAGGATACCTTTAAATTGCTGCTTAAGCTAAACGTTTTCATCCAAATCTGACATTTCTCGCTGGGTTTTCTGGACTTTGGCTTTGATCTGCTCTTGTTTCTGTTCACTTTTTTGCCATTTAGTCATTAGTTTTTTATCATTTGTTCTATTTGTCTTGTCTTTTAGCTTGTAGGAAACTGCTTGGTTGAGCTTGGTTTAATATTTTTTCCAGTTTGAAGAAGGGTAATCTTTAGTTTTTCATCGTTATTCAGATATTTGGTCTTTATTATTTATCCACAGTGGGATCTTTCTCCAGCTTTTTGAGCCCCCTAAGTCCTCCTGGGTGTCTTTTTTAGGCTCTCACTGTTACTTCTCCACAGTTTTCATTATTATTTCTAGATAAGATCCATAACCAGGTTCCTTCTTTGTCTTGGTTTTTGTGTAATTTCGTCTTTGTTGAGCTGTTTTCCACCCCGGCTGGGTTTTTATCTTTCCCCTCAACCTCCTGCTTTTATGAGCCGCCTTTATTCTCACCTCACCGCCTGCAGCTTTATTCTTCTTACCGGTGAAACTGCCCAAAAAAAGAGCTGATTAATCCGTTTTTGGTCAGAAAATAGTTTTACGGTCCTTTTAGTAAAGACCTGAACCAGATCTGCTGCTTTTCTTTTGCTATTCTCGCAGCTTTGTCGTGTTTTAGTCAGATTTTTGTGTCTCGTGACCGAGTCGTGAAGGTGCTTGTTTGTGGCAACGTTTCTCAAAATGAAACTGAAAAGCGTGGAAAATAATCAGCTGTCTAAATCTAAATAAAAAATAATAATTCACTGCAGTGAAAACCATCTCTAATTAAATGAAATAATTAAAGAACTCAGCTTTATACATTTTCGCTTGACTGAAAACAATCTAATTCTTTTATATATATATTTATATATATATAAAAGAATTAGATTGTTCTGTTCTGATTTTTTTTAAATCGCTCTTTTTCAGTCAAGCAAAAACGTATAAAGCTGAGTTCTTTAATTATTTCATTAAATTAGAGCTGGTTTTATATATATAGATAGATAGATAGATAGATAGATAGATAGATAGATAGATAGATA